TATTAATACTGGCCCTATCTCTAGAGAGTCAAATGTTGACACTGAGGAATAAACACTGCATTTTTGCAATTTTATTAAGCATACGTGAAAAAAAAAAATCCAACACCTCACTGAATATATGGTGTATGGATCAGACAGGAATAACAGTATGTTAAAGACTGTTACTGCATTATCAAAAGGAATTTCTTGGTTTGGGATACTGTGTTAGAGCAAGCTCACTATATTGTGTCAAGGCTTGCAGTGCTGTTTTTTCCAGGAAGTTAAATTCACTTTCAAGAGTTCCTCAGAAATAATTTTTCCATTTCCTTGTGGTCTTCAGTTTATGACAGTGAACAGGGCTTAGTCTGTCATTTAAAGAAGCTACTCAGTCATCCTGATTTCTGACAAGATAAATCAATTATGACTGTCTGCTCTTAAGTGTTAATTTAATATAACTTGCTGCAGACCCTCCAGTGGAAGTCTTTTCTTACTTAGATTCTAAATAATTGTTCCTAGCTGGGAATTAATATCAACTTTGAGATGTTTGAAATTCACTTTGCTTCTGTGAAATCTCTTTTGTCTTGCATGTACCTTTTTACCATTTTTCTCCCTGTAAACTAAAGACGAAGGCAGAGTTTGTTCTACCAGTGGGCTTTTCAAACAAATGAGAAAGATCAAGTCAACACTTCCTATTTGTAACTTTTTTCCTCTAATATCCTGGTCATGTAAATATGAACATATTTACAAATTTAAATAAATCTATTGACTGCTTCAAACTGATGGCAAAGCACATATGTAAATATTTGTGGTATGAAGTCTATGAGACTACTTCATCTGAAAGCCAGTGTAATCCATTATGTGAGGCCATAATCTGCCAGGATCTGATCTCAGCTGTGCCAGGGTAAACAAGGTGTTATTTCAGTTAGCCAACAAAATTACATTGGTATGAGTGTGCAAGCTCAGCCGTAATTCTGGTGTCTCTGTTCCGTAACCTTGGACTGGGGAAAAAAACACAAGACAATATTTAACAAAATTATGTGTCCAGAATTCGAAAAAAAAAAAATAAAAATCTAGAAATACACTCAGGGTTACATGGACAATGAAAAAAGCTGTAAAAAAACACAGGTGAAATTAGAACTGCTGTTAAATCTATTTTCAGTGTCATTTATTTCTTTTATGTGTTTGCTTGAAAGAAGGCTGTGATCGATTATCGTTGTATAAGAAAATGATACAGAGCAACAACTGAACCTGTACATCATTTCAGTGACCTATAAACCCTCAAAGGGAAACTGTCAAGAATGTTTGAAGTGACTAATATCACCTCTTTCACTTCTAGCATGCTAATCTACTACCTACAAAGTATTGCAAGATCATTAAAATTCACCAACAATCAACTGAGAATGAAGATCCAAGCTGTAAGTACAGTGCAAAGCAATTTTACATGTGATTTGGTGGGTCTTCAGCAAAGTTCAAGCCTAATTAAATCCCTAAAGTCACTTCCAGTGTTTCATAATGTAAAACCAATCCTGTATGTTTCATCTTTACAGAGAAGTGGATTTACTCTCTAATCCATAATAATTTACTGCTTCTCATTCTTCTGAATGTGTTTTAGGAAAGAACTGAAGATAAGAAAAAGGTGGTTCAGATGGCAGTAGGTAAGTAGGTGAGCTTTAGAAATGCCACTATTAATTAAGCATTTGGATGCAAAACCATTTTGATTTCTCATACATGTAGGGAGCTATAATTACATTTTAAAAACTGTATTGCGTATGTTGAGAACTAGATCGGGTATCTTGAAAAGAGGTAATGGCTTGTTGCCCAATTTGGAATCCTACAGTGTAACATCCAGTGTTTTTTCTATGTCCCCAATACTACATCTATCATGTACTTCAGTATGAGGATCCACCCCTTTATCACTATGTCTCCCACTGTGGCACCAGTTTCTCTTTTCTGAACTCAGTGGGTTCTGTTGGCATTGGATCCCTGACTGAAGGAGGAATTTGTGCCACTGCATTTACACAGCAGCTTCTAAATGTAGAGACCTGGAAAGTTCCTGTAATAATTTCTAATCTCTAGCCAGAATCCAAAATCTGGATATTAATGACAAGAGACCAGACCAAGACAATGATATTGGCCAGGAGTCTTCTGTTCGGTCCTCAACTCCCCGAAAGAATGGCAGTGTCCTGAACTTTGAATCTCCTGCGAGCAAAGGCACCAGAATACAAACCATTTCCCAGTCCGTGCCCCAAACCGTGCCCTCAACTGATGTTGCAAGACCTGTCAACGCAACTCCCACAACTTCAACCTCTTTAACGCCAGCTCCCTCCATAACAAGTGTACAGAAACCAAGAAATGATCATACCACAAACAGGTAAGTCTGCTTTGGTTTTGAAATGGCATTTATTCTAGCAGCTCCATGGCTTACGTGTGTTTATTGACAAAATAGCTGTGTTTATTTACCAAATAGCTGTGCATTCAGTCTGTCTGGAGCTGTTAGCTGAGAAATTTTTTAAAAGCAGATTAATTCAGGGATACTATTCATATTGCTGGTGACACCACCTCCTTAACACTCGCTTGAGATGGGATTATAAACCTTTTGCAATTGCGTAGTTGATGGAGTTTACACATACCTTGAGTAAATGTAAATACTAAGCTTCCCCTCGGGCACATAATTAAAATAGTTTGTGTGGGATACTGTTTCCAGGAACAAGACAAACACAGTAACAAACACTGTGCAGGTCTAGTTGTAGGGCAATCAGTTTAGGACATCAGCCGATGGATGCTTTAAGCTACCTGCTGTGTTTTTTTCCAAATGATCAGATAAAAAATAGTTCTCAGAATAATAAGAAAACAGAAAGGGAACATAACATGAGAGGTCAATTGCCTGCTGCCTTTTCCCCGGGAAGAACAAATATACCTCCTAATTTCTAGGGTATGTTTCTCAAAATGGTTCTAAAAATTTGGAACAGTGGAAATATGACGATCTCCAGTCTTTCAACCTAGTGTTTGACTTCCAGAGCAACGAATTTTTAATATGTTTTAATTACATTAATTGATAAGTATTCCAGTATTTTCTTTCTTTTTTTTTTTTCCTTCCTAAAGATACCCAGGTGTTGTGCATAGGAGCACAAGTGAGCTCTGCAAAACAAAGTCCTGCACACCAGTGACTTTCAAAAAGCACACTGAAGATATTCATTCTGAGCCTCTCTTCAGAAAAGCCATTCGGCAGGTAAATCCGGATGCCCTTGGGGCAGGGGCTCCTGTTTTTGTGGAATGCAGACCATATGCTACCAGGTATTTTCTGGTTAATGAAAATGAGCCCCGCAAAAAATCGCTCCGTTCTACCTCCCGACTCCAAAGGCATTTCAGAAAGGAGGAATCAGGAGACATTATCGAGTTGTATCCACGCCATGTCAGAAGATACGTGGTTCGAACACCACACGAGATGTATTCCTCTCATCCCAGTGAAGATGACGAGGATGAGGAAGAACTTGGGAGACAATTAATGAGCAGATCTCACCGCCCTCGCTCTCTGTCTGATCTTCGCCCAGCACCACAATTTTACATCGGGGAACATGCTGCCAGAGTGCATTGCAAATCCTGGGATGATGGGTTTGAGCTGGACCTGGACAGGCCTCCATATGCTTACAAAAAAGTACACCTGAACTATCCTGAGCCCCGTGTGAAACCAAAATCAAAGCAAAAACAGGAGCAGTCTCTAACAGAATCTGATTCCATTTCCATTGAATCCAGCAGTGATCCACAGAACAGCAGCAATGACCAGTACATCCAGGTCATTCACAGCAAGGACAAGTATCCAAAGCCTGGAACAAAACTCACCAAAAAGAAATCAAAAAACAGTGTTGATCTAAGTATGCCTGAGCCTAATGAACTGATATGCTCAAATGTCTGAGAAAGTGCCTCAATCTTTTTGTGTTTTCAACAGGTATATGTGCATTTATTGAATTTTCTCTTTGAGGTCTACCAGAGTAATTGTGACAATTAGTAGTGTTTGTAACAACCTGTATGCAGCCACTCGGGGTGGAAAAAGCATAGTTAGCCTTGTGTTTTACTGTACCTTGCTTTAATATCTCAACTGACATGTTGCAAATTTTGTAAGAGAAAAATATTCCAAGTTGTTCCTTACTGTTATGCTGTTAAAAAAACAAAATATCCACTTACTGGAAAATCAGAAGCTGTGTACCTGGGGCACTTGCTTTAAACCAGTACAAAAATACGTGAGATGAGGCTTTCTCTATCTGACACGGTCAAAGCTAAAGATGCTTCCACTGAATAAATTCAGCTGGGAATCCGCTTCCTACAAATGGATTTATTACTTAGAGTATGACATCTTCATGTGTCTTATTTGAACATACTACGGCTCAAACAAATCAGGGAGAAAAAAGTTAATTAGAGCAAATAGTGAGGTTTTTTACAGGGCCCTGAATAATAATCTCTGGGTAATACAGTTATTTGATCACAGCAACGCGTGCCTGCCTTCTAGATTAACTCCTAGATCCTCTTTCTGGTGAAACTCAGCCCAGCCTGATAAGCTTCTCGAGTGGAAAACTTTCGACCCATGGCCTTTAAAAAGCTCGCTTCATTACTCCTAATTGAATTCTAAATTCTATCCCGTTTTTTCACGCACAATTGGAATTTTACACTCTCTTTAGACGCGGAAGATTTTTATCCCCCCACCCCTGCCCCGTGTCACTGGGATTGGGATCACACTATGGCGGGCGTGGGGCGGCCCCATCTCTAGGGAGGCGCACGGCAGCGCTCCGGCCCCCATCCCTGTGACCTTCCCGGGGTACTGGGGCTCGTTTCTCCGCAGGCCTCGGAGGGATAGCCCTGCTAATCCCGGGGTCCCCGACTGCCCGGGCGGCCTCCCTCAGCCCCGCTCCCCGGAGGGCGCGGCGGGCCGGCCCGGCGTGACCTCTCAGGTGACGGGGCGGTGCCGCGTCGCCCGGGGCGGCGCGGCGCGGGCGCTCAAAGGCGGCGGGGCGGCCCGCCGCGCCGCCATGGACCGTGAGGAGCGCGCCGAGCGGCGGCCGAGCAGCTGCGGCTGTACCGGCGGGACCCCGGCGGCTGGAGGGGCTGCCGGAGCACGGTGGGTGAGCGGGGCCGCGGCGGGAGGGACGGAGGCGCGGCGGGAGGACGGGGGCCGGCCCGGGTGCTGAACGCTTCTCCTCCCGCAGGGCGAGGTCGCGGTGTCCTGGAGACCCTCGGCGGAGTTCGCTGGTAACCTGTGAGTACGGCCCGTTCCCGGGGTGAGGGGGATTGAGGGGGATCCTGCCCGCCGTGGGGAGCCGGGCAGGGTGGAGAAACATTTGGTTTCGTTTCGTCCCGCCGCAGGTACAGGGGAGAGGGGATCCTGCCCGCCAGCCCGCGGGATGTCTGGGAATGCATCAAGCCGGTGGCCGGCGGGCTCAGGACCAAGTGGGACCAAAACGTGAAGGATTTCGAGGTCATCGAAGCCCTCACCGATGTAAGTTCCTTAAAAACTGTCCTGGTGAGATTAACGCAGCGTGTGTTGAGCAGTGCTGGGCTCTGCACAGCCCTTCCTGTCGTGCCTCAGGAGACAACCGATGTTATGTGCTGGGAAGTAAAGAGATCTTAAAAAGTTGTCTGGTGTCTCTGTCTGGATCAGCCTGACAATACTGGGATAACAAACCTGTTTTTTTGTTTCATTTTGGTTTTTTTTTTCTTTTCCATCAATTTTATATATTCTATTAGCATATATATAAACAATGTTTTTTTCATTCTGAAAGGAGCTGCTGAGACATTCTTGCCTAATACTTGCCTAAGTTGTGCAAATGTATAATATTAAAGATTCCCACACTATGTTGTTAACGCTGCAAGTCAAGCTAGGTGTGATTATTTTTAACAAGCTGTCTGTGAGGGAAGAGGAGGCTTAGACAATATATACACTTAGCTAAGCAGCAAAACATTCATGTCACCAGCCTTAAATTCAGGCCCCCTGTTTCACAATGGCAGCACAGTGCTCTGCATTGCACTGCCTTTAGCTGGCCTTGGGACCCAGTGCTTTACCTCTGTCTGTCATTAAAATGGAGATGCTGCACTTGGAGGATGACAGATGAACAGGGCTATGTATGAGCAGCAGCTTCTGCTACTGCAGTTATAGAGTCTAGTTCTTTTTTTTTTTCCTCTTAAAAGGTGTTGGATTTAGATCCCCAAATCTGAAATGTATGTAGGTGCTTGGAGGCAACCAGATGCAAACACAACTGGTCCCAGAAATGCTTGTAGAAGTCCTGTGAAGTTTGTTTTTCTTGGGGGAACTGTAGAGGCATTTTGTGTTCATTATAAACTTGAGGAATGCTGCAACCTCCTGCTTGAAATTCATAGACTTGCCAGCAGTTAGCACTGTGATAAAATGTCTGTTTTGGGGACCCTCTTACCACTGAGCCTCCACAGAAGGGGATGGTAGTGTTAATGTTTCTGCAGTGTAACAGATTGGGTTATCAAGTTGTATCCCATGTATATGACACAAAGAAGTTATCTTTGCTAGCTTCCTGGGAACAAGAAGCATTTTACCTGTCCTATGACCATAGATGTGCCAGATTTGCATTTCATCATCCCTTGTGATATCTGTCCTTAGTCAACCTGGAAGCAACACATCATCACTATGTTTTTCTCCATTAAACTGTCCTTCATCTATGCAGGATAGTGCCTTTTGACTGTGCTGACTTATATTTTGTTCAACCAAGGGCGTAGTAGAACTCTTTGATGGAGCTTAGAAAGTGTAACTGAAAGTGTTTCAAAAAGTACAGGTATTTTTCTGATGTATTTCAGAAAGCATTAACTGGCATAATTCTGTTTTTTGATTTCCAGACTATCTCTGTATGCAGAACCACAACCCCTTCAGCTTTCATGAGGATTATTTCACCAAGAGAATTTGTGGATGTGGTAGTAATGAAGCAATATGAAGATGGGACATTGCTATCTGCTGGTAAGGCTCTTGTGTTCCCAACAGGTTCATGTTAAGTCAGGAGATATCCAGCAGCTACCAGAAACAAATATAGAATAAAAACTAAGTAACATGCTGCTCAGTAGTTGTTGGCCTGATCTTGATCAGAAGATAAAATAGTAATTGTCTCTCTGTGTTGTTCTCAGACTATATAAATCATCTTAACACTAAGATAATGGTGATACTGTTGGCCGGTTTCTCCCCTTGCTATGCTTTTGAGATTGAATAAGTATTTAATTTACTATTAAGTTCTAGGATATTTTGTGTGTGGTTCTATTGTTTTACAAGTTTACAGAACTTTCCAAAAGAAGTCCTATTTAGGCTAAATCCCATTTTAACATTTTCTGCACTGCCTCTAGGTTTTGATGAAACCACTGAGTAAATGTACCACTCCTGTATGTGGAAATGATTGTTTTTATGAAAACAAATGTAGTCTTGATTTTTAAGGGGCTGCTGCTATACGGAAGGATGTTTCTTTGTTTTTTTTCACTTTCACTCTATGGTTTAACTGTTCCAAGTCAGTGCTTTTATTCCCTCACTGTTCAGGTGTCCTATTTGCCCATTGTGTTCAGGAATGCCTTGCCAGGAATTTATGTACTTGCTAGAGTGTAGCTTCTCAGCAGCCAAGGGGCATATCCATGTGACATTTTTTATTGGAGGTATCCTGAATGACCTTGCACAACAGGGGTTCAATGCAACTGCCTCAAAGTGTCCTGATGCTTCCTTCAGAGCTCAGTAACAATTGCTTGTAAATTCAACTCTTCTTTGATTTCCCCATTCTAAGGCCAGAGTGGTTCCTTTTAATGGTCTTTCCTGCCAGTTTTGTGACATAGCCCCACACTAAGAGGATTATATTGCCATTCTTTTTAAATATATTTTCATATAGTGAGTTTGCTTCCCAGCTGGTGCTTTGAGTACCGAGCACTCTCCCAACTTCTGTAAGAATGACACTTTTCTTCACTGCTTTTTCTTACAGCCACCAACGTGGAACACCCACTGTGTCCACCTCGACCAAATTTTGTGAGAGGTTTTAATTACCCTTGTGGCTGTCTCTGTATACCTGTTCCAGGGTAAGAAATTATCTATTTGACTGTTTTGAATTCATTATGACTGAGTGCCCTTTTTGTGTTCTCATTTTTGGGCAATGAGTTAGTTTCTCTTCCTTTCCTGGAGGGAAGTATTTAATGTTACAGGAACTGTCATCATGGTAGGATTCTCGCTGACCTCTTAAGCAGAGATTCAGCAAAACATACAAATATGGTCTTAATCTTTGGTAAATGAGTATCTAGTTGTTTATTATAATTTATAGTAATTTATAAACCGAGTCAAGTAGCTAATTAGGGCCTACTTAATCTGTAATTTGGTAGCTACATTCACGGACATTTGCTTGTTTGTTAAAAAAAAAAAACTTCATAGAAATATCTATTCTACTGAGTCATTGAAAGAGTCATTGAAAAGTTCTTAATGCTCTTAAACTACTGGCTATAAAATCACTTACATTGTCTTTTCAGGGAACCAGACAGGACTCAGCTCCTCACTTTCTTTCAGACGGATCTTGGTGGCTACCTTCCCCAGACAGTGGTGGATTCCTTTTTTCCATCTAGCATATCTGGATTTTACAGTAACCTGACCAAAGCTGTTAAGACATTAAAAGCATGACAAGATGAGTTGCTGACATCACCAGCTGAGGGTAGGAAAAGAAACCTGGCAACTCGAGGGTAAAAGTAGGAAGTTGACCTCAGGACTTTTCAGTCAGCAAAGATACTTAAGAAAGGTGACATGAAACAATGAACTGAGTAAAATAATTTTTTAAAATAGCATTTTGTACCTGTCTCCGTGCAGAACAATGCATTCTTTTCTAATACAAAATTCTTCACTTTTAGAAAAATATCCCACCAGAGGCTGGAAGAATCCTGGAGACAGCAGTGGTGGCTGTCTCCAGGGAGAAGATGCACATGCTGGATCTGTTCTTGGCCACACTATGTCAATGTGTGCGAAGGGGAGCGTTGTTAAAACCCACTTAGTACCACAGGGTTAGCCAGGTGTGGGTCAGCTCTGTTTGGTCTCTGAAACCCTGTAGGTTCCTGTGGAACAGTGTTTCTTCCCCAAAAGAAGAACCTGTAGAGCTGCTGGGATGTATCAGTGGGTCTAAGCTAGGAAATGGTAAAAAGCCAAAATTGGATTGTGTGGAGGATTCCGCTTGTTTGTTCCAGCAGATGTCAGCAGTGATGGTAAATATGCCTTAAGTGCTTTTTTGTGTCAGGGTGCAACAGTGCAAATCAATTCACAGGTCTGTGGGCTGGCAAATCGACACTCTTCCTTTCCCCTCTCTGTACCAAAACCAGTGATTTCCCCTGTGTCATTAAACAAACTGAATTGACACAGTGGCAATAAATAAAGAGGATTAAGCACTTTACTTGCCATTTCTTAAACTGCACTTGAAATGATCCTTTTGAACTGTGCTTGAATGTTTTTTAGTCTCCTGTGGGGAAAGATTTTAACGGGTAAATAATCTTGTTTTGTAGCTTTGTCTTGACAGGCCATAAGGACATTGCTTTTCTCTAAGACTGGTTTGCCTCAGCATTGTCTTTGGAAACCAACACCTGATTTTGTGTGCAGTGTTGTGTCTATATTTAGGAAATACCTATGGCATTGCTTGCTACAGGAATGTCAGACATTACTGTAGGTTACATATAATTACAAAAAGAAAAATAATTGCTGAATTAGGAATTTAAATGCAGGTTGTGATTTTAATGCAGTAACTCAATTATTTAATAAGGTTAATATGCTCTGCTTTCTGTCCCTGTATTTTTTTATATTTATTATAGGGCATGGACTTGCACACAAAGCTTCCCATTGTAAATCTTACCCCATGGAATAGTTTTTTAAGGAAACAATTTTTAGTGTAGTCTCCTTTGTATACAAAGATGTAAAAACTTGTGTAAGTGTGATGAAATAAATATTTTTTCTGCTACCTCTTACTGTTTTTCCTGAATCATCCTTTAAAGTGGTTCTTTGTGCACCTGCCTTGCTGTCAAGGAAACATAAGAGCTACTTCCCTACCCACTACCTGGGGAAGAGGTTTTTTGATGAAAACACTTGCCCTTCACAGGTTCTTTGCCCTTGGTTGGTCCTTATTTCCAATTGCTGTGTTCTATACTCAGGAAGAGTAATAAATTCGCTGAGAAGAGATTTGGGCCTGGATGTTAGAGAGGCTTATATGTATTTTTCTAAATGTACTGAAGTTGTTTGGCATGAATTGCAATATCTTGGAAAGTCTTTCCAGGATTGTCCTCAATTTAATTAGCAAAAAGTTCAAGGAGCAGAGCTGAGATCACCACTCATTATTTCTGCAGGTAAACCTTTTGCAGACAATGTGTCTTCTTATTAGCTATTTGTAATTTTTTTTTTTATTGCTGTGAGCAACAAAGGTGGTAGGTGAGGCTTTTTGTTGCAATAATTTAAGGATCCCTTTTCTGAATGCTCAACAACTTCTATCCAGAAGGAATTAAGAGCCCTTAACCTTCTGCCCTGCCAAGTTGGAGTTGAAAATGCCTTGGGAAAGAGTTTTGTGTAGGTACCAGTGTAAAAATGTACAAAAAGATTCACATTTTTCTCTTATTTTGGTTGCTACCCAATTAATAAAATTTTTGTTTTGAGATAAGAGGTTGTTTTTTGGAAAAGACAACTCGGTTGGTTAAGGGTTTGGAAGGTGGGGGAAAGGCCAAAGCAAATTAGATGCCTGGATTCAATTAACAGCTTCTGCTGCCTGTCCTACTTCCCTTTCTGTCAATTGCTGTTTCTGTGGCATTGTGTTAAGTGCACAGAAAATAGCTTCCGAGCTCCTTAATTTCTTCCTGCTGAAATTAAGTAACCGAAGAAGGGTACAGGAAATTCCCAACTCTGGGAAGGTGAATAGCCAAGGACAATAACCAGTGCAGCCATCTGGCTTTTAGCTGATGAGTTACTACTTCCATCTTACCATTGCTTCTCTCCCTTCAGTGAAGCAGGTCAGAGAAGACCAGCTGGGGACACGGGACCATCTTGCCTTAGATACACGTGCTGCTGCTGGTAGAATTCCATGCAGTGCATACAGAAAGCACTGCCACAATGCTGATAGCAGTGTTTCAAGCATATATTTGTCTCCAAGTTTAGTGTTTCCGGGATAAACAATTCAGTTCAGAAGTACTTGGATTCTCACATACTCTCATTGGTGCTTTCCCTTACAGAATTAACAGGGACCTTTAAAAAATAAGTGTGGTTACAAGGTAAGACGGTTTTGAATGGCCTTGTTATTTTCCTGCTGTACTCCTCTGAGATCTCTGGCCAGAGGAAGGTTAGGAAAACCTGCACTGTATTACCCTCATCTTCCTGCCTCACCCTAGAAGTACCATGAGAATTCCTTCCCACTCTGTCTTTCACTGCTGGAGTTGAGATGGCTCTGTTAACTGCTAGTAGAAAGTTACCTTGACAGGTTTTGGCTGTCCTGGATGTTCTGTGTTTTGAATAGAAAAGCTGGAATTTTCTAGGTTTTTGATAAACAGAGCTGCATGAGCCTTTCTCTACCCTTTAAGTATTCCCTAAGGCAGTGTTTAGTTGAAGGCTTGTAGACACATTTCTTCTTCCTGGGAAGGTAAGGCAAGGCAGGGAACAGGACTTGGAGAGTGGCACTGAAAACATAGCACAGGATGTGCTTATGATATTTGTTTAGTTAATGGCTTAAAACAGGAGCATACTTTAGCTGTCAAGTATTTTATTACAGCCAGTATATTGTTAATAAAGTCATTATTTTATAATTCTACACTTTATAACATCTGTTTCTGAATGTTGGAATAAGAATCATGCCCATTTTCTGCACAGCTTAGGTGCATCCCAGACAGCTTTCTCTGTACTGGCAGTGATGTCCTTTATACTCTTCATGTGTGCTTTCTGAGCATCTTGCTGTGCTCACCAAGTGCCTGCAAGTAATAAAATCCTTTGTTTGATTATTGGCAGTAGTCTAATTCCTCTCTTTACAAAGTTTCGGATGACTTGGTGGTAACAGAGCTCTGATTCTTCCTCTTGATGATGGCTGTGATGGGCCCATCAGGTAATGCCTTGATTACATTCCATGCTTCAAAACGAGTGAGTCCTTGCATGGCCGTTGTGTGCACCTGTAACAGCTCATCGCCAGGCTGAACAGGGCTGCTCTGTTCCAATGCAGTCCCTGGGAAAGAAAATGAATTCCCTTCAATTCTTTATGTGGAGGAAACTTTAATGGATCTTTGACTTAGCAGTGAAATAGCTGGACCACTAGCATGTTTGGTATAAACCACCTGGTTCCAGCAGGCAATGAATTACTGGCACCAAACAAGATAATGCTGCATTTGCAAAAAATACTATTCCCACAGCTATAAATCAGCAGTAATGAAACCCACAAGTCTGCATCAGCTGGGAACATGTTGTGTATCCATTTAAGTGTGTTTACCTTTAAATATCCTGTTGATGATGATGGGTTTATCTCCCTGAACAGAGCCCTTCCCTCCTTCCAGGCTGAATCCCAAACCGGCAGGTGTTTTTTCTAGAGTTACAGTGCAGATTGTATCTCCAGTTGCTGGAAACAAATGGAGAGTTACCAGGTGGGCAGCACATAGTCTGAAAAGCTAAAACATCTGTTACAGAAAATGAACTTCTGGTTTGTTTGCAAAGGTACCATAAACTGTGAAATGAAAGAGAAAATGAAAACTTTTAATTTCTCCTTTTGTCATTTTAAGGCCCTCTGGGGAGCTGAGGAAAGTTAGTTGTGTTTGAATTCATGTGAGAATGGAAATACAAGACATTTACTGGAAGTATAAAAATCTGTTCCATGAACAAAATTTAAAGTAAACATTTGACTTGCTATTAGTTATGAAGACGCTATCAACTACAAAGCTGCTAATGTTTATTTGCAAATGGAAATAAAGCTACAGATCTCCAGATCATTCTTTAGGGAAAAAAAACACCCAACACAAAAATATCTTGAATGTGAAATATTCTGCAAAATTCTGACCTTGCTGTGGTTCAGATGTAGCCACCTGCTACATCGAACAATAGCACGTTGTTTGTTCAAAATTAAATTCTCTTTCACAGAGAACAAGTCTTGTAATAATATTAGAATAAAGAATCACTGTTCGCTGAATTGTCATTTTACCTTCAATTAGATGTGTTGCTACAATAACCATCTTTATACATCTACAGAAATTCATATAGAGAATCACACTGGGTTTTTAGGGAGTTCTTTTATTTTAGAAATCCATTAATTCTTTCTCTTTTCAATGAAGTTATTCCAAATGTCTGTTACAGGAATGCTTTATTAACTGTGCTGTCCTTAATCGTGTTTTTTTTAGATTCATGCAGCCAGTGCTGCTTTATGAACACCTGGATTTCAGGTGATGAGTAAACACTTATGTGGGGACTGCAGGGTAATGCCACTAAACTTACCAGACTCTTGTGAAGCATCACTTGCTACTGAAGATGTACTAGAGTTGATTGAAGCATTGAGATTTGTTTCTCCATCTTTAGGTTTTCTAGTGACAACAACAGCTTGTCTGGGTTGGCGGGCCTGTCGCATGATTGCTGAGGCATCGTTGTGAGTCACACCTTTGAGAGACTTTCCATTAATGGATAGTACTTCATCTCCTTTCTGAATAGTTCCTTCCTGAGATGCCAGTCCATTGGGAAACACTTTGTGAACCTATTGAACAGCCCAGACACCACACATGCACACAAGGAAAGAGGGGGGGGAAAGAGGTCAAATCACTAAATCATTCAGTTGATATTTTTTACCATGTGAATTTTTCATTCTTTGCCAGGAACGAGTTGCTTCTATCATGTTTCAGGACTGAGGACTGAAAAAATTTGTACAGAGAAGTTCTCCTGTGCACATCCCTCCTCAAGCAGCCAGGCAAGCAGTTTGGCCCCAGTACCAGATGGCCCAAGCTGTGCTGCCTGTGGTGTGTACATTGCGTATGCTACTTCCTGACCCTCTCTCTGCTCTGCTCGAGGGAGGAGGAAGGCATGAAGCTTATCTCTATCTTCCAGACCCCTCATGTATTTATGCACCCATCTCATTCCTCCAGAGCACACTGCTTGATCTTCTGTAAGCACAAGATGTTGGTTATTTCCTGCTGAGGGCTGTGTGTTCTGCCTTGGCTTTCAGAGCTGTTTGGGATTGGGTGCCCAAGGAAGCAGGACACTGCTGCCAGTCACCTGGATAGGCAGATCTGTGCAGAAGGATTCCCTTTTCACCTACTGAGACTGTGGTTCTTCCAATCCTATCAGTACAGCTGCCTGATTATTTGATTATGCCAAAAACCAAACACTGGAGCAGAAAACCAGCAAGGTTTTATGTTTTTAGACAGAGTACTTGTTTGGGGAGTATTTTTTTAAGAATTATGTTACTTACTGTTACTATTTTGTTTTCTAAATCAATGCCCCCTGCCAGGCTGAATCCAAGCCCAGTATCTTCTTCTTTATGCAAAATTGTAACATGAATATCATCAAATTCCTAGACAGAGAAAGGAATACAGTCAAACTTCTCAAAAGATATGTCACAATGATTGGAAAATCTGGAAAATCAGCATGTTTTCTTTTTCTCTATTGTGCATTTTATAATGAGACTTATGGCATAAGCATAACATTAAAGTTGCAAAGATTAACAAGACACATTCGCTCCACATCTTTCTGAAAATCATGCACAAAAAGCAGGTTTACCTTTAACGTTGCTTCATCTAGTGCTTTGACTTCCTCTATAAGCTTTGCTAACTCCTCAGGGGAAAGCAGAGAGATGACTGACTGCCCTGACACACCGGATGCTTGAGGTGAGCTGTGTTCCTGTCTCTCTTCCTCCTTCTCATTGTCTGCCAAGCTCACAGTGTATTCTCTCAACTCAGAAAGGCTGTCCCATTGTGGCAAGAGTGAAAAAGAAGCATTGAGTTATGAAAGAACATACCCAGAAAAGCAAAAGACAATTTTGGAGCAGTCATCTTTTGATTGTATTAGCCTGTACTTGGGGTGGTAATTCCTATAAGTATTATAAATACAGACAAATGTAAATTAATCATGAGTGTAACACAAGTAGAATCTATCACATAAAAGAATAAGGGTAATCCCTTGGTCCCAGGCAAAAACAGACTTTAATCTCCTTTATCATGGAGATACTAGAAATACTGCTCCTTAAGTAGGAGGATGTTTGAAATATACATGGGCGTATGTAGTATGAATTAAAAACAAGTGTAACAGTCATATGAGTCATTTAACCTTTGTGGTCTAAAAAGTTCCTAACTTAGTCTGTGCTTTACTGTTGTGTGCTACTACCTCAGAACTTTAATCTGTCAGCAGATCAGCACAGATGCTCACCAAAGCTGATCTGTAAATCTGAGTTTTAAACATGGTATCTTACTTTAGTGAAAACCCAGTGTCCAGGTGATGATGGTCACTTGCAGGTGAGAAAGAAGTCCCGTCCTCCTCCCCAGAGGACTGAGACACTGTGTCTGCAGTTTCCCATGCACTGTTTCCAGGAGAGGCTGGAGACTGAGGAAGGCAAAGCAATGATTTCATTAAAGCAGACGACACTTGGTTACTGATGGAATAGATTTTGCTGCACTTCTCGTCATGTGGCTTCATCATCTCACAAGCCTGCCTGGCAGTAAGTGGGAAGCTCCGTGACCTTAGACTGTGTGCTTTTGCTACTGACACAAGATGGGAATTTGCAATGGCTCCTGTTGTTAAGAGACTTGATAAAATTTCGGTGCTGGCACTGCTGCTTTTCTCTGAGCTGGCTGCAATATCCTCCCTGCGAGAGGAAGGTCTATCCAGGCTCTTTGTACCCATGGGCATAGGTGGCTGTTGCTGGCTGGTTTCACAGCGTTGGAGGAAGGGTTGGTTTGAATGGGCTGGAGCCACCTCTGGCTCTGCTGCAGTGGGAGAGGATTCTTTCTGGACTGATGGTTTCAGGCTGAACCTTCGGTGTGTCTTTTCAGGTGACTGCGGAGCACTCAAGGATTCAAATGAGCTTATTCTTTGTTTTATTGATGATCCTCCAGGAGACATAAGTGATAAACTGGATTGTTTTTTGATGGAAATACTGTCAGGATTAAGAGGACTTTGATTTGCTTGTGGTTTTAGATCTGAATTTGCTTTCTTCAATCCTTTCAGGCTTTGGCGAAACCAGGTGGGCTTAGGTGCAACAGGAGGACCCTTTTTCACACTGTCATTTTCATCTGATTTTAGCCCTTTTGAACCGACTAACTCTGATTCTGATTTCTTCTGAACTGTCTCTGAGCTGCTTCGATTTTGATTCTCTTTCTTTTTGTCAGTGCCAGGTTGCAAATCTAAATGGACGCTGTTTTCACTCATGGTAGGATTAAATAAGCTTTTTATGCAATCAGAAATTTTAACCCAAGGGTCTTCTGTTGTTGTTGTTGTTGTATCAAGACTATAATCTACCCGTGCTTGTCTTTTAAGTACAGGCCTTTGTACTGATGAAAGTGGAGTCCCTGTATTAAAGAAACAGTGATTATAAACAAGCTTCCCTCTACTTCTCCACTCCTTATCTCTGCATCATTATTAATGCAGAAATTTGAATTTCATTCAAGCCTCTGATAGGTTTTTTTTTAAGTTTCTGAAAAGTTTAAACTTTTTAAAAATTAATAACTCTTGATCTACAAGTTCTGAATCCAGACACTGAAATTAACTGAAAAACAAGGCTCTTACACACTTATATGCGAGATCCCTTTTTAAAGGGTTTGCAAATTCTAAATGTAACCTAAAATTCTGGGGTGCTGAAGTCATGATACAAACTGGAACAGTTAAAATAGAAGCTTAAAATTGTGTTGTTTGCAGCCTAGTGAAAAAGGTGATGTTACAGTAAATTCTTTTTTAAAATGTTTTTTTCTAGTTTTTTAAGTATATCCTGCTCTGAAAGGACTGTCCTAAGGAAATCTTTGATGACTGTTTTTGCTTTCTTAAATTTGTGCAGGCATTTCCAGTTGATTTTTTCTGAAAAGTAAAAACTTGATTGTAATGTAGGAAAATTTTTTACGTCACAGACTGATTCAGCATTTTAATGTTAGATGTGGTAGAGCTGAACGGCAGCGAACTTTTGTTTGTGCAGTTGCACAGGTGCTGTTATCTGCTCCAGTGTAAGTTTTTTTTAAGGCATCATTTTTACTTTTTTTTAAAGATCTGAACAAGAAGTTATGGAATTACATAGCTATTTATGTTGTAAGAGACCTCTTGAGACTGTCTCGTTCCCTTAACACTAAGTTTCCTTGATTCTAACTAGCACAGCAGAAAGCTAACTTATCAGTGGTTTGTAGCATTGCAACACTAGAGCCTTGAAACTAGGCATAAAAATGTCCTTTAGAAATTATAAAATTAACTTTTACTATAAAATATTCAATTACTAAGCAGTTTCATCTGAAGAATATACCAATATTGTACCTGTCCATTAACATTTTTTACGGTAAATCATCACTTATGCTGCTTTTGATTTAGTTTCTCTTTTTTTTTCCCAAGACTGGAATAATTTTTTAATAATAATTCAATAATTTGAAATTTCATCTGTTCACCCCAAAATTTACAGATACATTTAAAGAGAAAGGTGAAGTCAGCTCAATACCCATTTTGGCATTAAAACCAAATACTAGGTTTAGCTGAAAAAAAAGTTAATGGAATTCAACATACCTAAGTTTTCTTTTCTTTCTTGATCTCTGCCCACTGGAGCAGCAGTTGTGTGTTCTGTATCATGTGCTGTAGGAGAAGTGGTAAAGACACTGTGTGTTACATCAGTTTGGTGTCCCTCTAGCATTGGTTCTCCAACTTCCTGCTGAACAAACAGGAAAAAGAATTGTGTCAGAACGTAATTATGCAAACCACAGTATATATGTATCTGAAAAAAAAAAATCTGAAAAAAATACGTGAATCTGAAAAAAAGAAGAAACCACATACAAAAGTGTGGTATGCAGGCCTCAAACTGACAAAATGTTTGGGAAATAAAGGTTTGAAAAAAATATTTAAAAAGCAGTAATAAAACCTTCTTTTAATGACCTGAAATTCTGATAAGAAACCCTCTGTCTTGAGCATATACAGATATACAGACTGTCTTAATAGAGGAATTTGTCTTCCTGAACAGAGTTTGACTTTACTGATCTCAAGACATAAGTTTTTCTCATTATCTTTAGAACTACTAAGTACTAGAAAATAAGAAGTTGCAGTCAGTGATAAGTTCAACAAGTGTTTATTTCTCTTAATTTTACTTCTCAAAGGTGATTTTCTAGTAGGTGTTGAATATATTTTTACTGCTCTTCTGAGGGAATGTTAAAAGAGTGACCTTACATAAGGTGCGTAACTGAAAATTTCTCAGATAATAACATTATACGTGGACTTCAGTCTGATCTATATAATTTTATTTTGATACTGCAGCTTGGAAGCTGTTTGGGGTTTTTTTGGTGGGTTTTTTCTTTTTTTTTTTTCTTTGCATTGCATTGAGAACGGTTCACTTCTACTGCTACATTACTAAAGCTGGGGAAAAGAGGTTTCATTTTTAAATTAACCACAGCTTTGTTTCAATATGCAGATCTCACAATCCTTCACACTCATGCAAATGTGAAATGCTATCTTTCTGTTCTTTTAGATGAGAGGGAACTGAAATTTAGTGGCGTCCAAATACACATATAAAATGCAGACACAAGAAAGATTTTGTAAATTTTGCTTTACCTGAACACTTGCAGAAGGTGATGCAGCCACTTCTGACACAAGCTTTTCTTTTCTGTCTGCGTTACACTGGTCATCACATGTGCAGTCCTGCTTAAAGTATTTCCTTGGTGGAGGTTTGGGCTTTGACGACTTAGGTTTTCTAACCAGGATCTCTGATGATTTCTTAGTGTTTTGCAAAGGTCGACCTACTTCACTACAAGTAGGAGGGGAATTTCTCTCTGAATTATGAGCAGAGAATGAGCACAGCAGGCCAGGTTGTCTGGTAATTGGTACATCAACGCTATGTACTCTTGCTTTCAGGTCAGTCAGTTGGTACAGAGCACCAGTGCCACACGAGGCCCGGGGGTTGTAGCTGCTGTCGCTGCTGGAGCGGGTCATCAGCCTCTGGACCCTGCGGTTGCAGTAAGCAGCATTTCTTTCAATGTGTTTTTCACACGGGTGTCTTCCATGCCAGCTCATTTCCAGTCTTTTAACACCTGTATCAGGAACACGTTCAAAGTGTCTGTTCAATACATACAAAGTGATCTCTTCTAAGATTCAGCTTTTAATCTTTTAAGATTAAATTTGCAGATAAATACCATTATCAGTGGATGCCAAGGTGTGATTGATGCATTGGTGGCTTGTAGAGTGAAGAGTCAACAGGTACATTCCTGGGCACCAAAATAGCATTTTCCATATATAGGTACACATATATGTATGTATGTCAGCAGTGTAGTTATACTAATGATAATTCTGTTCCTTTTGGTCCTTTAGAAGACATGAGGACGCTAAAGGGAGTATGTTACTGTGGGAGAATGTCATACCTGAACTGGGCAAATAGCTCCAACCATGACTGCATATGCCTTTCCTCATAATTAGGGGATTAACAAGCTGTTTGTTCCCAGCACATCACCTGCATTGTGCAGTTTGTTGCTGTCCTGGTGCTGTCACCGACAGATAGTTGTTTGAAAAGCTCTAAGCAGAGGTTGTAAATAAGGAAGGATGAGCAAATGTGAGAGGAAGTTTGCACAAAAATTCTTTTTGGTAATCAGAGAGATTTGGTCTGTTCTCTTCACTCAGGCAACATATCATAGGAGACATGTTAGGAAGGTTGTCCTGTGACGTTTCTTCATCTTTCTGCTCCAGGTTACTTGACTGTTACTAAGGATTCTAATACAGCATGTACTCATTCTCAACATCTTTTAAGTCAAAATTACCATGTCTCAGTGAATGCACTTATTCCCTTACCTTCAGTGCTCCATTGATGTCTCTCCTTTCCAAATCTGTTGCTTTCCACAGCTTGTGCAACAGCTTCCTTTAGCTGTTGCTCAGACACCTAGGAAATATCATGCCATTATACTCTCATGAGATTGCTGTGGGGTGATGATTAACATTTAAACATTTATTCCTTTCACAAAGCTTTCCAAGTCCTGCAAGTCCCCAAACAGAAAGGCATAGACCAAGTTAAATCACACATCAGTTAATTTTAAAGCTCACTGCACACCATTATATTTGTATATATTCTAGAATAGATGAAGTATATCTATGGATGTGCTGTATAAAGTGGTTATTTAGGTAAAATGGGATCTTTTAAAGATAAATGTTCTTTCACATATTTCACTAGAAGTAGAGTTCTGGATTTACTAGTATAAGATGACTTAATGCAGCATAATTTATGCAACAATTTAAACTTGGTAATCATTTCTACAGTATTTGGTTTTAGGAAGCATTTTTCAATAAAAATTTTACAAGAATAAAATATTTTACTTCAATAATAATTTAATTATAAATATTGACTGGGCAAGACCTAAATTTTAATTACTGAAAGACAAGTGTAAAAACATTTCTTTAGGGGGAGATATGTTCCGTCTTTCAAATTATTTACTTATCATTGGGAATTCTTTCTTGGGTAAGAACTGTATTTTGGTTTATCCAATACTAATTGAATGTTAGTTCTGTAATTTCCTTATTCACTGCACAGAAACTCATGTAAGACTGTCTCCAGTGATCTTCAAATCTTGCATGATTCTATTTAAGATAGTGCATATCTCAGGTTTGTTTGTGTGCAGCGATGATTATAAAGAGATCAACACCTTTGTTGTCAACATTTTTCCACCAAGTTTAGATTAGCACTTGCTCCCTCCCTCACTCTTAGTTCTCAGTATGTGGTATACTGAAGGTCAGAAAGAATACAGTGTGCTACCTGTGGTTCAGGGTGTCTGCTAATGATAATTTGTACTGCACCAGGATCACAGTGGCTTAGCAGAGCATAAACTTCATTGAGAGTTGTATTTTGTACTGAAGTTTCGTTAATTTCAATAATTTCATCTCCACACCTACAGAGATATTAAAAAAAAAGGCAGAGGATGTAAACAAAAGAGATTCTGTCCCGACCTTGTCTCACCCATGTGAAAGTATGCAAAAGGAAAATCCATATGGTTAACCTCTAATTTGATCACAGATTATATCTGTCTGTTGCCATGACAGAAAATGGAATGGGAATGAGTTGGATGTCAAGGGGTTTTGATCTGTCTCATTGCAAGCAGTATTTGAGCTTTCTTCATGCTCAGCTATGTACACCTTGTGCCTGTGATCTTTCTGCTCAGCTGCTGCTTCCGCCTACACCTTCCTGCCTTTCAAGTTAACACTTCACTTTTCATATCTTTTTGTTATGCTAGTGCTATTGAAGGTCAGAAAGAATGTTATGTTTCTGCTACATATGAATAACTTGTTAATAGAAAAATTCTAATAACAAGCTATTTTAATCCTGCTGACTGCTAGACTGAGTCTTTCTAGATGAAATCCAAATTAGGCCCACATGGAAACTGAGACTGTCTTTGTTTACTCTACAAAAAATATCCCCATATATTAAGAGGCTGACTGAAGGCACTGATTTATATCACACAAGTATTCAAATAGTTTAAGACACAGCTCTTTCAGCTAAAGTCTCAGGCATGCATGAGAGGAGAGTTACAGAACACCTCAAATTAAATCAAAAAGCCTTCACTGAAACTGCAGTGTTCTGTTCAGTTCTCAATATATTCAACACTACTAACTGGTCATAAATTTTTGAAAGTGAATTTCTACATTCCCAGTAAAGCTCATTTCAGAAAATCTGCATTTCTATTGGGCAGGAAGGGATAGAATTTAAGTAGCTTGTATCAGAAAAACCACAAGAAAGCCAGAATATGCCAGGTGTTTGGATTTTTCCAAATACTTTCTCATTTGAAAATCTCCTCCAGTAGCAATGCTATATGCTTGTCTAAGACCTTCAAAGCTAGCCCAGGCAGGGCAAGAGACAGTAATTTCACTGGGTTGCTGTATTTCTGAAAATCCCACATCTCCTGAATGCACATGCTCAAACCCTGAGGATAGCACATGTTTAAAACACATGTTAGAAACCCAAAATTCACAGAAAGCACTATGTCTTCCTGCCCAAAGAGGTCAAAAATAAACCCATAAACCAGAGCAATGAAAAAGTGGCATAAGACAGTCTTTCTCATCCTACCTGAGTCTCCCATCCATATGTGCCACTGAGCCTGGCGAGAGGGTGTGAATAAAAATCCCAGAAATACACTGGAAGTAAGGGATGCTACATAACCCAATTCCAAGGCCGACACCTGGTTCTGAAAAAATTAATAATAATTAAAAAAAAAAGGTAAGAAATAGTCAAAACAAACCATTGGAGAGACCTTTCCAAAAACTGTCTTAATTTTTTTACTGCACAAACCACAACCAAAGTCTTGCATTCATGAACGTTGCACTTTCAATACTGACTGCTGCTTCCACTCCTTTTTTTCTTTTCCTTTCTATTTTTTTATTGTGTGGTTGCTTTGAGGGCTTTTGTCCCTCTCATGATTAAAGTAAGTGCACACCAATATTGCTTGTGGGGTTCCAAGATCTGGTTGTTGACAAGAGCTTTATTTTTTCATGTGAAGGATATGAATTTGACTCTGCTCGAGTGAAAAAAAACCTGAATGATTGGCTCTTGAGGACAGATGGTGTTCAAAATCCTGCTGTTGATAGGTAGTTGTTAGCACTGACAGGCACCAAGTGTATTAAAAAAACTTAGTTCAGGAAAAGAATCAGATTAGTGAGGAAAGGCTCGCTGTTCAGAGAGCAAATGAACAGCGGTTCATCAATCAGTGCTTTGTTGTCAGTGATCAGTTAATTTCAACACTTACCTTTGTTTAGGGTAACTTCCATTATGACCCTGTCATTGGGCTTTGTAGGATTTGATGAGAATGATGCACTTTCTGAACTGAAAGAGCTGTTTTCTTTGGTTATGCATGTGCTGGAGCTCAGTGACTGACACAAGAGGGGTGACTGACAGCTGGAAGCAGAATGAGGTGTGCTGAAGCTTGTCCTGACTGTAAGTGTCAGAAGACCCTTTTTGGCCTGTTAGAAAGAACAGAGAGTGAATGAATGGGTTGAGTTCACGTATATGTTGTGTGTAAAGACAGAGATTGTTCTGGAAGAAGATTATGTAACCTTGAATTTTTGTAAAGCATCATAATGTGTTAATCCATGCATGGATTCTCCGTTCAGCTCCAGGATTTCATCACCTGTTTCAAAAGGCAAAAAATAATGTTACTATTACCATATTATGCAATAAGATACATACGTGCACTCAAAAGTAGCCTTGTAAATGCAATAATGTCAAGCAGGTGTAGAAGTCACTTATTGCTCATTTCAGCTTCACTTCAATCTGTCTTTAGGTATCATTTTCTGGGAAGCAGGCAAAGTGAGAGAAGAGGGATTTCCCACCTTCTTGTAGCCTTCCATCAGCAGCAGCAGCTCCACCAGGAAAGATGGTTTTGACATAGATGCCTATTGGTCCATAAATGCTGTCTTTCCCTCCAACAATACTGAATCCCAAACCCTAATTTATGGAAGAAAAACAGTGTGTGAGGGCCTGTGATCAGTTGTCATAATAGTTCATTTGCAGTTTCTTCTGCATTACCTATTTAGGCAGTATTGTCAACAGAGTAATATAATCCATGAAAAAATAGTCAACCACATTCCAATAGTAAGAACAAATGGGAATTTTCACAAAATATCCCATGATTTGCATTTTGTTTGTTGCAATCAATTCAATCACTATCATAAGTGCATAGAAAGGTCTGGTTTGTTCCTGGTAGCTCTTCTTTTCCATCTCAACAGAACCATGTTTATAGCTCAGCTCTGACTTGAAAGAAGCTCTGAAGCTGTTGTGCTGGTGCAACTTCTGGATGACACAGAGTCTATGATTTCAATCCTACCTCCAGCTGCCAGAAAGGGTAGCAGTGAATGTCAGTGTTGATGTTGCTGGCTTGATGTGGATGTGGTGTTAGAACTTGAAGGTTCTACCTCATCAAAGAGATACTTCAGAAGGTTAAGAAGCAGGTGAATGGTAACTAATCACTCCTGGCAAAGACTGGATATGAATTGGCAACCCAGAAGCAGCAACATTGATACCTGAATTCACTTCCCTGTGCATAGCAGATTACATTTGTGAAATGAAGTAAAACTCTATGGTAAATCAACACAGCCAGTCTTACCTTCCCTTGTCCTTTCATCAGTACAATGTTTGAAATTACTGAAGCCTGTGAGCCACAGGAAGTGTGCACTAGCTGTGCTGTACTTAGGGATCTAGATGATCTTGAAATTGCCTGTGAACATTAAAAAAAAAAAAAAGGGGCTCACAAAAAATTTTTAATACAGAACCAGAAATTTTTGGACATACATTACACCTGCTTGTTTATTTGAAATTTTCCTGCTTATAACTGATGGTACTAAAGATTTTTTTTTCAGTCTCTCTAATTTTCATAAGCCATTTTTTATTCAGACAATTGCTGATCACTGAATTTGTCCTGCAGTGATTAGACTGGAAAAAAATAGAACGTTGACCCTTCAAGTGGTGCATTGGTGTAGAAAGATATATTTTATCTTGGGACAAATAAAACCAGTTTTGCTCATGAAAGTTCTTCAGATCATGAACTACTCTGTGCTTCTGCTTATGTGGTGAACCACTACATAAGCATCTTTCTACTGCCGAAAGAGGTGAAGCACATCCTTTTTGCTTGATAACCAAGGTGAGCAATTTCTCAGTGTTCTTCCTCCCTCCATTCCACAGAGAGTGGATTTCATAACTCCAGCCCCTGAGATTTAACCCATCTTAATGGGCATTTAATGGAAATCTCCTATTTCAACATGGAATTGGGTATCGCAAGCTAATTTAAGCCCTGACAAAAGTCATTACCTAAAGCTAAGTATGCATGAAGTTCAGCAGGGCCAGAGTTAATTGCAGTCATTACACATAGGAGAGAGTTCAACACTTTTTTTTTTAATGCAGCAAAGTGAAACTAACAGCTGATGAAGCATGTGGAAAATCAGCCAAAATTTTGTCTTCTGCATATGTGAGAAAATAGGTCTCAGTTTTGACATAAAAACAAGATTAATTGTTCAACATGGGATTAGGAACATGATTGAGAGGGAGATGCCTGTGCAACACCAAAACCACACTCTCCAAAATACATTCCTCTACTAGATCAGGGTGATTGTTTATTCCATTGTGGATCTTCTAAATCTGAAACAGGAAATTTTCATGTGTCTTTTACTTCTGTGTGAGAGGATGTATTTTTTATATGTTTGTGGTGGGTAGTGATACCCAAAACGAGGATGCTGCCAAAGAGCCTCTGCCAGTGGGCAGCACACGCCACGCAGGGCCTTTGAGGAGTAGGGAACCCAGTGAATCCCTGAGGGTCTGTCTGTGTATGTGGGTGTTGTTTGATTGGTCTTTGTGCTCCAGTTTGCCCTTCTTCACTTGTGTTAAAGCCCTGGGTGAGGCTGTGGCACTGCAAGGGTGAGGGACTGGCCAGGAAAAGAGAGGGAGCAGCAGTGAGTCCCCCAGCCTTGCTTCAGGCACAGCAAGAGGTGACAGTGAGGAGCTTCACTTCCATATCTCCCTCCAGGCTTGAGCTTGGGAACCACTGGCCATAAACACCATCAACCTCTTTGCCCTACCCAGCCTTCGCTGTCCCAGACAATGGTGAGTTGCTGCCAGTCTCTAGCCTACATTAATGGGGTGTTTAAATCTTTCTGATTCAGTGTGGGCAGAAATTGGGATGCCTTGTGCAGCCAGTGCAGCAAGGGCAGCCACTTCCAGCCATCAGGTGAGTCCATCCTTCTTGTGGCCATGGGTAGGCCAGTGGAGGTGACTGGGGAGGGTGGTGGCAGTGGGGTCCAAAGTGGGGCGGTGTGAACCACATAGGGGGATTTACACACACCATAAAACTTGTTGGGGCAACAGGAGGGAGAAGTTGCTGGAGAAATGGGGGTTTGCTGGCATGAGCCTTTCCTGGTCTCCTGCCCCTCACAGAGGAGGTGTTGGGGGTAGAAAGCAGAGGAGAGTGACCATCGTCCCTGACAGGGCCTGGAGAGAAGCTGGGTTCTGGTAGGAAAGCGGCTGCCACAGTCACCCAGAGTCTTATTGGAGACAATTTTGTCTGTTTTTCAGGTGATTTCCTGCAGCACTTACCGGGGCTCTCCCTGCAGAGCAGTCCAGCTGCTGGGAAAGAGATTTGCGGCTGGTGTGGAGAGTGTGGGGCTGTCGGTCCCTGAGGGGCACAGCTCTCCGGGGTGCCGTGCTCTCCACCTCCCCCATCCAGAACGGGCTCACACCTGACACAGAGAGGCTGTTATTGTTCAAGCGCTGGACACTTCTGCACAGTCATTTTATCAGGTAAACGTTACTTGGAAATGGTTTTCCTCCCGTAAATCTCTTTGTGAAGGGATCAATCTTTTCAGTCCTCACTGTGGGGATAGCCTAATGTTAAACATAATAAAAAGCAAACATTCCCTACCAAACAACTCTTGACCCACTTAGAATACACCTTAAAAATGCCCCATAAAATGTAAAGCTTATGCACAAAACCTGACTGTAGGATTTTGTGAATGGACAAGCTGAAGGTTTTATGCATCAGCAATTCTTAGCTAAGGATTCTGGAATAACTTTGGACAACAGTTGCCATTTCTTTTAACACCCCAGTACCATCACACCAGGAGGTTCTGTGCTGTGCATTCCCTGAGTATTACAAGTGAGCAGATGACTTCTCTACCACTTACTGGCTGAGTTACTGCGAGTCCTCTGACATGCAGATTTACTGTGCAGAAAACCATTCTGTATTTCCAAAGGCCTTTCCTTGCCCCTTGGCGTTTCCTAAAACAAAAACAAACAAGCAAACAAAAACAAAAAACAATAACCAGATAAACAAGAAAAAACTCTATTGCTATGCAAGAAAATTTTGAATTGGTCTAATCTTAAAAATAAATTTTATCCTAATTTGGCTGGCACAAATTTCAGCCTGAATCAAAACATATGAAGAAAAATTAATTATTTAAAATAGATAGGATGATAAAGGAGAATGTAGCTCAAAACTTTGTTATAAATATTAGTGTAACAAAGTACTTTGTTAGAAGTATTGGTGTAACAAAATAATAAAATAAAAATAGATTCTGATCTTTAATCAAAACAGACAGAAAATTAATTGGACACTCCCAGTTGGTTCAGGTAGACTAATAGTTTGACGTGTGGGTGAATTGTAGCAAATGCTTGTCTAATTTCTGGGGTTAACTGGTGCTTTTGGGTACTCAAGCACCTTAGAGGGGTGTTATATTCAAGGGAGAAATTCTTAGACCCAGCTTTACGATGGTGGCTAGGTGTTCAACTTCTGATTTCAGAGGGTTGTTTTTAGTCAAAATACAATTTGCATGTTTAAAAACCACTGAGGATTAGGATTTTGTGTTTAAAAAAAAATCAGTATCTTCTACTTGGAAAATCCTGTTGCTTTTGAAAATATGGCCAGTAATTCTTGCACTTAAAAACTTGTAGATAAAACATTCAGGTTTATAAAGGCAGGTTTTTAGAATGGTTTGAAAATAAATAAATTATCACATCTGAATAACAGTCCATGTTAGGAGTAATTTCTGTACGTGTATAGTTCCTGCAAGTCCTGCTTTTGTTATGACATTGATCCTGAGGGAATCACAGTTGAAGGAAGAACGTTACTAAATACAGACAGAATATGGAAAGTGATATGAATACAGTAAAACTCCAAGTACAAAAGCGTTTTGCTCAGCAATATTCTACAGGGGCTAAAAAGACCACAAGAGCAGCATAAGAGCACGACCTGTATGTTCTAATCTTTCTGGAACCAACAAACACTTCATTCCAGAATTCTGACTTCAGTGGTTCTGTTTGGAGATACCTCAAGATCTAATGAGAGAAAATTTTCCTCTTGGACAGCAGGTGGAGGTATTGCCAAGTAGCAAAATCCTACTAGGGATTTTCAGTCCCATTCCCTTAAGGAACTGTTCAGAATAAGAAATACAGAGAAGATCCTTGAAAAGGAATTTTGAAAATGATTTTGCAGTGTTTCTCTTACCAGGTTAGGTAGCTTGGAAAGCCTTTGCTATTAGCTATAGATCCTAGATCCACAAAACTACTTCATTACAGGGCCTGCTCTCTGGCTCCTGGATTCATGGATCTTCCCTTTAATCCACCTCTCAATCCGCATTTGTTCAACTTCTAAATGGAAAATTAACATTGGCAAGCTATGTGCTTCTAAAAGGAGGGGTTGTACAGCCCTTGCTAGAGTTTCCCAGGGCCTTGGCCTCCCCATAACTTCTGTTTATCTGGGAAAAAGCTATGCTGAAAGTCACCAGAGTCTGACCACAAGAGGTTTTGGGTTTTGTCAGGAAAGGCAAAACCATGTTCTTCAAACGTCTGATGAACAAATACCTCTCCTCTCTAAAGTAAATGTCAAATCACCCCACACTTGTGGGAGTGGACCACAGCTTTCATGCTTACTTTGTTAGCCATCAGGATGTTCACCAGCCGTGTCGTTGGGTGAATGAGAGATTCGGCCTCCTTCCTGGGCAGATCTTTAAGTGACTGTCCATTTAGTGTTAACAGTTCGTCCCCTGGGCTCAGGCAACCATCCCTTAAAAAAAAACAAAACAAAACCCAACAAAACCAGAAACATTTGCATATTATTTTACAAAGAACAATATGGCACTGTTGTGCTACATGTCCCCTCACTAACTGAGGAGTTGGCTGCAATTCTCCCTTTGCCTTGAAGAGGGCTGCCGCAAGATGCCTTGATGTGTGATACATCTCATCCCTTGCTCGGATTTTCTCCTGTTGCTGTTCTATCCTGGTGATCAGTGGCTGCCTTTCCACATTTTGCTAACTTCTAGGCAAGATATTCCTCCTCTCTCACCATCTTGCATTTGCAAATTGATCAGAGACTATAAACACGCTTTACTCCCTGTCAGAACCTTGGTTCACATTGTTTTCCAGCAACCTTGGTAGGCTGGGGCCATCCTACACTGCCCTTTAATAGGGTGACTAGGAAATCATGTTTGAAAACTTGATGTGCACGCTCTCTCATTCTTCCAGGTTTTATTTCTTAGTGTAAATTGGGAAGCAATAAATTCCTGAATGTTCATAGTTCTATTTTTCTAGAACCTCGACCCATGTCTCCAAATGTAAGCGTAGTAAGAAGTTACTCCCAGGCATCACTGCTTTTCTCTGGAACAGAGCTTCAAGGCATAGCTTTTCACCCAAAGCTGGTCATGCAAACTCCATGCAAAAAAAAATGTCTCTCTAATAACTTGCTGACTCCATGTGTACGGTACCTGCTTGCTCGGCCTTCAGCAGGCACGTGGCTGCCTGTGAACCCTTTCCAGAAGGATGAACATTTTGGACTCCTGGAGAACTTGAATCCTGAGCTGCTGCTCCCCGACGTTGCACACAGCCTGCAGATGCAGCTGTCCTGATTCAGAAGATGAAAGGTTGCATAAAAGAAAATGTACCAAGGGTGTTAAAAGTTGCTTACACTTATCTTGAGTCTTTTTAAGAAATACAGAAAGTGTTCACATTCTTAGAACCAGATTGCCTCCAAGAAGAATAGGAGCAGGCCTTTAACACTGTGCAGTTGAGAAAGAACAGTGGTATTATAGAGTCAGTGTTTTAAAAAAGTTGTTTTCCTTAGAACTTCAGTGGCTTCTGGCTACAAGAGGGGAGAATTAGAATGTAGTGTCCCTTTGCATAGAGGGGAAGAGAACAAATAATAGACTTTTCACAGTAACTGGGCAAGCTTTGCCTATACTAACTATTATAAGAAAAGACAGGGAGGAAAATAAACACATGCCAGAAAATTAAATGCTCTGGAAAACAGAAGAGGTCTGGATGGAAAATAAGTGTATACAAAACACTAAAAGCTCCACCCCTGCTGCTGACTTGTTAAGTAGAGGCAGGGGAATAGAGAGGTCTGCAACAGTGGAAAATTCTTTGTCCACTCCAGACTGGTTGAAGTTGCTGTAGTCTGTGTTGCATCTGGAGGACTAATTGTAAGCATATTTTTAATGCAGTTGTGAATCATTAACACACGGCTACGCAGGAGGAGAAATAGTGTCTTAAGACTTTTAAGGAAAGCAAAGAATGGAGTGACTAAGCACATGAAGCACAACACATTTGACTAGGAAATATGCTCCTGTGGCACAAATATGTGAACACTTAAACATTCTAAAGAGGCAAGGAAAGCTGGAACGTTAGCACACAATTTCTTCTCCATTTGCTTAGTATATGTCCTGGTTCAAGTATTCACTCATTCTGCTCCCAGCTGAACGCACCTCCTCTGCCCTCGCCAGCCTCTCCATACTCCACAAAGTGAAGAGGACTCTCAGTGTATCCTGGTCCAGGCTTGTTCCCAAGAGATTTGTGTGACTGAGGTATAGATTTCTGAAGGGGAGGCAAATTTCATATGTTAGGACAGGCCACAAAATATAGCAGTGGTCAACTGTCTGTATTGCTCCCTGGGCCCCTGATCAGAGTGGCATAAACTGTTTCCAGTAATCTGCAGTCCTCTGAGACACAAGGAAAGCTGTGTAGCCACTTTCACCGTCAGTAGGGCTCCATTTCTGCCCTAAGCAGAGTTCCTCCAGCCCCGAGAGTGAGAATCATTATGCTCTTTCACCACAAATCAATAGGGATCACATCATACCTGACTGGCAGCAAACACAAACTTCAAATTTACAGCAATGTCAATAAAGGTCATTATCTTTTAGGCTGACTGCTGAAGCCTGGCTCCCATTCTGAAACCTGCCAGAGTAAATCTGAGGCTGTGAATGAATGAAGTATTTAGCTTGGAGCCCTAGGCTCACTGCAGGCTGAGTTCAGTAGGTAAGGGATAAGGGCTGTACTTGTATTGACTGACTCGTTAACTCTGTGGGTTTACTTGCATTCCAGATTGTCTGCTTTTAACGAGGAGTGTCTGAATTTTACGAAGCCTCTTTTGTTCACAAAGAGTGCTTCTAGTGAGTAATATGTTGGGAAGCGTATAAGCACGGACAGAATTCTGTCTTAAACCAGTTTGTTTGAACTCTAATGTTAGCTTTGGAGATTCTGTATTTACTTTTCACCCAAGATAAATATCTTGGGAAATACTTACTTGCAATCAGGATTACATTATGTTCTTTTTTTATATCTTATGGCAGTGCTTTGAAGTCTTCGGCATAGTAACAAAATAAAGATTAAAATTCTGATACCTTAAAATTTGAGATCTTGAGTAGCCAAAAATGTGAGCTCACTTTTCTGTTTGTTTGCATTGGTCCTTTATTTCAGGTATGATTATGAAATTACAGGCCAAATTTTGCATGCGTGAAGTATCCTTTAAAACCCAAGGGGTTTTCAATAGGGTAGTGTGCTTGCTCTAAAACATGAGAAATATAAGAGAGATATTAAAGGCAGGAAATTGGCTAAATATTTTGAGATGTCAGCTGATTGCGGATTGGGGGTGTTGTGAAAGAATAATGGTATTATAATCTCAGTGTTTAAAAAAGTTATTTCCTTTCTTTTTTCTGTAGTCAGAATTCAAATTTGGACTTGCCAACTTATCTTCTTATGAGTCTTTACTGTTATATAACGCTCCCCTGAAGTATATGTGTGCCCTCTCACAGATACTGGTCAGACATGCACGCAGAATTTTGCATAGCTATTCTCCATACTTCAGCCTCTTCTTGATTTTCCAGCTGATAGGCCTTTTCAGACTGTCTCCAACTCACCAGTGTTAAAAGTAGAGTCGTGCTGGTGCCTTACATATAACCTGTTCACAGTGTACAGCTACTGTGTTAGTGGTACCTGTAAATATCCTCATGATTTCATGTCCAAAAGTTATGTGGCTCTCACCAGTTTCACGGGACATCACAGAGTGCAGTGGGTTTGGCTTTGAGGTCTTTCAGTGCAGAACTGTGTGAGTCCCCTGGGGAAGACACTGTGTTTTGTACAATGGGACACGTGCCAGGCTGGAAATTCTGGGTTGTACTGGGACATACATGTGAAATGACACTAAAGCAAAACTGATACAGATATTTTTGTAAGAGCAGTAAGTTGCGTGCACTTAGTCACTAGGAAAGTAGAGGTTAAATCTGTTATACACTGCAGAAAAACCTTGGGAACATTTTTTGTTTACACATGTAGTCATCTTACCAAGCTGGGCTACATTTCAAATCAGCTCTGTGTCTCAATCGTTGCTGCAATTCATTTAGGTGAATAATTTAAAAAAAAAAAAAGTTTTTATTGGGCTGTGGACATGTGACAAGTATCTGTATGTTGTCAGCATCTGTATTTTTTGGGTCCTGGTTATAGATCACTGCATTCATATCCAAGTTATTGCAACACGACAGAAAATTAATAAAAGCTGTTCTGTAGAAAAATAAACATTTGACCCAATTCATGTGCCAGCAGTCAATTTGCTTTGGGTTTTGTTCTTTAATATCTTTTTTCCTGTCTCTCTGATTATTTTATGCGTAGAAATACTGTGGATGGTTCCAAGAGTAAAGACAGTATTTATTTTTGCACCCTTCTCCTTTTCAAAGCATCCTGCTGGTTTTGAAAGGTAATTTATAGCTCGGAATGCAATGAGTACTAAAAATTTGCTAAAAGAAGGTTGGCAGGTTTGGTGTGGGGGCAGGTGGATTCTAGTTCAACCTTGTCTATTCAGTATTAGAACATATGTTTAAACGTGAATTTGCTGCCAGTGAATAAAATCTCTGCTTATAAAGGGCTTTGCCTTCAAGCACTTCAAGACTCTGGGGAAACTTTTATCTGTGTTATAATATGCACTCAAAGAAAATTTGTATTTAAACTGCTTGGCTGAAAGATAAAAATCAAAGATGGAGTTCAAGAGCATTCTTTAATGCATTTTTTTCATAGGTGAGAGCAGATTAATTTTTCTTGTATTTAGTTCTGGAAAAGTAATTTGCACATCCAGGCCAACCCTCTCTTCCTGTCCCCCTTTTTTGTCATGCAAAATGCAAAGCTTCTGAGGATGTTTTTTTATCTGCCATTTAAAAGATTTCTTTTTCCTTCGTGTTTTCATTAGACATTTGTAGCCAGTCTCATCTCAAAACATCTAATTCCAGATGTTGTTTAGACATAAGGGTAACCATGGCATCTGTGGAAAACTGAAAAACTTTTGTGCGCTCTGAAAGTAAGACACAGTAGTTAGATTGTCTGAAATGAAGTGTTATACAAGGCTAGTTCAAGTAAGGTCTTGGACTCAGTTAACCAAGGGTATGACAATGAGCTGACTGACTGCTGGTTTAAAAAAAGAAAAGAAAAAAACCCCAAAACAAATAAACAAAAAAAATCTAACAACAGTACAATAATGAATTTAAATATTTAGCTTTTATGGCCTTCTGACTGTGAAATAGCTGGGATTTCCAAGAGAATAGAGTCTTTGGGGATTTTCTTCAAGAAGAATTTTTTTCTGCATCAAGTTTAACAAAGAAAGGGCCAGAGTTGCTCTGGCATAAACTCACTCTACTGGTTCTGATGTATCCTAGCCTGATGCTTTGGTCTTTGGTCTTATCAAAATATTTATAGTAAATGTAATTCATTTTCCCAGCAGCATATTCCCTGTGCAATCAATAAAATGGCAGAAGCTAGAAAGAATGATGCAAGGAGCAGGGCATGGGTTTAAGATTCTGCCCTAGACAGGCAATTCAGCACATCAGATGTTACAGAAGGACCTTTCCACCCATCATCTGGCCTTAAGTATGTTTTTCTGGGAGCCTTTGCCCTGGCTTGTGTTTTGCAGCACTCACTGTCTTAATGCAACAGCCTCTTTCCCATCTTTCTCTGAGGATGACATGGCTCTTGTGTAGCAAAATCGAAAAGGCTGGGAAGACAGAAAGAGAGAACAAGTAGGAAAAGTAAGGAGAACACATAAGTATCTAAATAAATGCAGCCTCCTCTCTTGGCTTTGTTTTTCTGTCCTGCCCACGGGCTCATGTTTGAGACATTACAGTCTGTTGCCATAGCACTTGTCCTGGTACCAAAGGGCCAGCTAACTGGTGTTTGCATAAAGGCAAGTTAAGAAAAGTATGTTCTGGTAGTGACCAAAGGAGAAAAATTACCTTTTGCTTTTTCTCTCCTTTGAGAAGAGGGGCAGGAACCAAAGGAAGCAACGGTACAGAAGTTTCTAGAACCAAATAGAGCCATGCAGTCAGATCAGCTCAGATCCAGTGTTTGCATAAAGAATCAGCCCTTCTCTATTCTGGTTTATTCTAGATACTATTTCAACCCTGCTGCCAGCCCCACTGACTGGTAATTCCCCATGCTTCCCAGGGCACTTGTGGTACAGGGAAGAGGTAATAGAATGTTTCTTGAATTAGTGGAAGTGCTTCTTGAAGCAGCTCTCAGACCCAGCAGAGACTGCTGTTCCCTGAAGAATAGGAGTTTGTATTGTCTATTTCTGCCCAGTTCTCCCAATAACTGGCATAGTCTCTGTAGTGACGTGACCAGGCAAGGACATCTTCCACAGTGTTTGCTGTGGCAGTGCTCATGGTATCAGATACTGCTTGCAATTTCTTTGGTTTCTTTTCAGGCCATCTGAAAATTGCTGATTTTGTGAGAAGCAAGCTATAAGGGAGATCTGCTTGTTTATGCATTGTCAAGCTGACATTCCACCATACCACACCAAGCACACCTCATCTTGGAAGCTATGTGGTGTGGCAGCTGGCTGAACAAATGACACCCTAGGTAACCCTGGGTCTCTGGACACGATGAGCAATAGTCAGTATAAGTGAATAGTGGAGCACAGATACCAAATGAATTAAAAGACTGTTCATCTGCTCTCATCGTTGCTGACAGAACACTAGAGAAGGAAAAGAAATCTTTTCTATTTAGTCTTGAAACACTATTTGATTTGCTCTTGATTTATTGCTTGTGGTGAATCTCATGCCCAGGGAGATACTTAAGGCTTTTAACAGAAAAAAGGAACTCGTATTTTGAATACTGATGTTACAGGTTCACCCTTACTCTGGAGAAGAAATGTACCGGGAACATTAAATCATGCAGCACTTCTAAACATTCTCCTCTCCTTCCATTGTGACAGCAAATATTAAGTTGTTCAGTTCTGTGGGAGTTATTAACACCTTCAGAGTTATGGTTAGGGCTGCAGGTGCTGGAAAGCAGAAGAATAATGGAATAGCCTCAGCAACACCACTGTAAGAATGGAATCAATTTTCTTGAACAAAGGCAAGGATCCTTCAGCTCTGAGTCACACATCATGAATTTCTAAAGTGTCACATGGAGATGGAGAGAGAGAGTATTACACTGGGACTTGAAAAATGCTTGTGGACTCCTTAACGAGAGAGGTCTTAGGCTTAAGCTTTGTTAAGACGTAGTACAGGAAGATTGTACTGACAGGCTGTTGCCATATGGAAGAGAGAGATCACTGCGTTCATAATACAGGGGAAAGCCTCAGCAACAGTAGTACAGGATAAGGTCAGTATGGCTGTTACCAAAGTTCATCCTATTTACCATGATGAGATAAGACTTTTTAGAATCACTCATTGATCCATGACTCTGAAAGGTATGGAAGATTAGCAAGTAGCATTTGAAGAGGTTTATATTGCTATGAGAGCTCTGGAGTGGGAATTTAATGGTACCCCTTGTCTGCAGGGGCACTAAGCAACCCAAATGCTGCTGTAAGGGACTGGGCTGATGACTAATTTATGTCACCATCCATCCCGGCTCCTGCCCCATCCTGGTCAGTGACACTGAGGCTTCAGCCAAAGAGTGGATTTATACCCTTAGCAGTTATATTTTATCTGTGCAAATGTATTAGTTATGGGACTTACCCTGTTCCCCAGATTCCTCTTTTAGCTGCTTACCAGCTATAAAAGGCAATGATCTAAACTTACAGCCTGCAATAAGATACTGAGTAGTTTCATATGGATATGGATCTCAACAGTTACTGGAGCCCTGCACGCTTTGGAGATACGCAAGCAAGTAGACCGTGGCAGCTGACACACACCTAAGTGCTTCAACTTTTAAAAAGAGAAGGTGGGGAAGTCCACAGGGGCCAGCTCCTTCACTCGCAGCAGGGAATCAGCAGTGTTCCAAAAAGGAGGCGATGGTATGGATTTCAGGTGACTGAGTGTATACTGGGACTTGGTCTTGTTTTCTGTCAGAATGTAATAGCAATTTGTTTTGGTTTTGCCTTCATGCTGGGACTCTGCCAAGGGTTGAAAAACCTTGTATCCATCCTGCTGCTGTCTTTGCAATGTTGGGCATGCTGTGATCATTAGCAAGAAACTCAAGGAGTATAGGGAGATTCTGATTTTCAGTAACACTGTGCCACTGTGTTTTAGACAGAGTTCTAGTTTTAACCAATTTCTATGGAAGGTATGTAAAATAAAATAAAATATATATAAGAAAAACATTTTAGGTGAAAGAATCAGTTCTTTCACATGAGTAACTATTTGCACAGATAAAAGGCTTATAATAAAGGAGGTACCAGGAGGATGCTTGCAGTGAGGTCCCTTTTACACATCAGGTAGAGAGAAAGTGGAAAATTAGGTTATGCTACTGAAAAGGAACTTTCTGAAAGCATCTAAATATATTGTTCAGGTTGAAAAGTTGTTTGGATTGTTAGTGTTAATATAGTTACTTGATTAAAGAATAATATTGAAATACAAGGCTGTTAAGACTTTTTATATCTCTAGGAAGTGTGATGTCTCTGGTGGTTTTAGAGCCATCACTAGCTTCTTCATGAATCAGAGGGAAAGAGCATCTTCCTACAGAATCTCCTGTCTTCCACAGTATTAATATAATTCGTGCATGCATAGCTTATGAGATCTTATGGTATTGCACTCTACAAATGTACTTTACTATAGTGACAGCTTTATATTTTGAGCTGAATTCTGTACTGCAGGTAGAACACACCAGCTGTGCTAATCTGAACACTGTGTGTCCTGGAGTCACTGATTTCAGCAGAACGTCGATCAGCAGAGTGCAACAGCACAGCAGGGATGCTAATACATTTTCGTATTGTTTATGCAGATCAGGAACACTGCAGGCTCTAAAAAAGCTGAGTAGAACCCTGTGTTCCTGAGAAATATGAGTTAATTTAGGAATTTATTAATTTAGAAACTACTGTAATGGGAAACATTACAATATACAGGACAAATTGCCTACCTTGGTGAGTAACTTTCTTCTCATGTTGTTGCAGTTCTCATTTGCAGCAGCTTTGGACTGGACCGTGCTGGTGATCACACGTGGAGGATCGGGTGGGCTGTCTTCTGTCTCCGATGTGCATGGCACTTGTGTTCTAGGAGAGCAGTCCAAGTCCTCTTGACCCCAGCTGGTAGACATCTCCAAGGGATCGGGGCATTTCTCGTCGGGACTTGACCCATCGTCACTGTTTTTGGCATTGCAAAGTATAAGTGATCTTGAAATGGAGCGAAACTTCCTCGACTTCCTGTTCCCAGCGTTGCTCTTTTGATCCATCTTCAGAGAGCCACTGCTCTTCTTCCTGTCATTCTCCCATTTGTGTGGCATGATACTTTCAATAACTTTCGCCGCTTCTCTGGTGCTAAATATCCTCCAGGAAAGGAAATATAAAAAGTAAGTTGCAATATACCCCACTTTCTCCCACTAATAACCTACACTACTGAAAAGCCCTAATGAATAAATCGAATCAACAGAGCCTTTCAGTCTGCGAACAGCCACGTGATATCTCATGACTTGCTAATTCTGTTTCTGCACAGTGCTCTACTAGATTCTCCTTCACCTTTTCATTCTCTTGCCATGTTCCTCAAGCACAATGGAGTGCTTTTAATAAAAGTTTGTGATGCTCCCATTGTCTCCTGGCTTTGGGCATCTGCTGAATTTGCATGTTGAAATCCCATATTGAAAAAGAGGATACTTTAAAAGCATTATTCTATCCTCCTAATATTATTTGGAAAGAACAAGCTCCTTCTGAAGCCTGATTCATGAAACCACTATAATTCAAAGAAGATTAATCAAATTGTTGACATTAAGTTCTCTGCCTGGCTCATCTGATTTGTAAGTGGTTTAGCAAAAGTAGATCATAGCCTTGAGAAAATAAGGAATGTCAGGCTGCTATAAAACTTCCACCTTTGCAGACCAGAACTCACTTAAGACAGTGCATTTAAGAGTAACAGAGAGATCCAGTGAAGCACTTAAGATGTGAATATCTGATTAGGGATTGAACTCTATAAAGGAATACAGCCCCAGTACATCAATCAAAAAGTGTCCTATTACAGAAAAGGTTTGTTTCAGCACATGATTCAGCATACAAAATTAAGGTAAAATGGAAGAAAATTTATACAATCAAAATGTGGCGGAAGTTGGAGCTTTTGTAAAATGAATAATGAACATGTTAATGCAACAAAGGGGGTCTTTGTAAAACTGTTTTCTTTTTCTCTCAGAAAAAGCTTTCTAGAAATACTTTAGTATGCATGTATCAGTGCTGAAAATTCAACCAGACAAACTCTAAATTAATTACTTTGACTTTCTCACCATTTTTATCATTGTATTTATTACACAAACTTTTTATTCTCCTCACAGTACCTAATAGATACTGAATGCTGTCATTCTGGGGAAAGTACCTATTGAAACTGAAGTATTTGCATAACGATGCTGTAAGGGTTACACACAAACCAGAAAATCAATGTAATTTGAAAAAACATTTCTTGGATATACTATTGAGAGAAAAAGTTTGTACACTGTGCTCTAAACTGGGTTTTTGTGTTTGGTTTGGGGTTTTTTTTGGTGCTTCTATGCAGAATTAATTAGGTACATAGGCACTTTGCACCTGAAGTGCCACTAGTGATACAGAAATGGAAGAAGGAAGGTTTTCTAAAGGCTCCTTACAGCCACAACCATAAACACAGTCCTGCAAACTCAGACCAAGCCACTTTCATATAATAAATCCAAGTCAACATTATAATAAATCTGCAGGATTATTTTTCTTGGGCTTTATTTTTTCCTTTTCATATAAATAAACAGGGAAAAACCAAAAACAGATGATAAGCACTATGCCATTGAGTACCTGTCTGAAGGAAGTCTATGGCATTGCTGAAGAAATCCACAGTTCAACATGAATCTGAATTTTTTTGAATTTGTAAAAATAAAAAAAATTTGTGCATGGCTTTTTCAGGAGAAGCAAGGAGGCCCCAGGGAAAAGGAGATTTATTTGGATGGTCCTTTCCGGTGTATTTGATAGTTAATTTTACTTTTTTCTTCCTTTCAGAGTAGCCTCTCTTCTTATGAATGACAAGATTGCTGTGATGGGGGACTGTCCAACAGCACAGCCATGTTCCCTTCCTGTGATGCAGAGGACACACTGAATAAAAGGACAATCCTGGACTGTATTTAAGGACACAGAGGCAAGAGGGGATGGGGAAAAAGATGACATAGATGGAGCTCAGTTTTAACACATGTACTTTGTAGTTGACACAGGGTCTTATTTCTCTAGGATTCATCTCCATTCCTGTACTATAGAGAGAACCTTCTTGTCAGAGCCTCTATGTGGTAATTTATTTTGAAGTACAGAGATGAAAAGTGCTATGAATTATATTAGAACAGTAATTTTGAGAACTAAGTAGTTGGTGGTTGTATAATTTAGCATCAAAAGTTTGCAATTTTTTTGTATGCTTCTTTGCTGATTACTTTAGCTAAAAACTGCCTAACACTATCACTATGAATATGTAAAGACTCTCAAGGTTTGAACATCTTGTTCGAGTCTTTTAAAAAGACAGTTCAGTCTACTATAATATAAATGAACTCAATTGCAATTTTTGAACTCAGAAATCCGTGTTAGCATCTCCAGTGTATTAGGAAATAGATTTAAGCCTATGATGTTGCATTTCCTGTATGTCTGAAGGAAGGTAAAAACGCAATCTGGCTCACTAGACCAGAATGTGGAGTTGAAAAAGCAGTGGGATGTCTGGGATAAGGGGAACTTCTGCAGGTCTCTACTCTCAGTACCTGGGCAGGAAGCAACAAAGCTACTTGCTGGAGGTGAGTGGAATGTGGATCACTTGAAAATCTGCAATAGGAATCAGCGTTCCTTCTGTGTTCTGATAATTGCTATTAGACAGTAGCAATAAAAATGTCAGAAATGAGCCCAAGTTGCACATTCAGACATAAACAGTCTTGCCTATGGGGGGAAATTAGAAGAAATAGCACTTTTCATTCAGGGATTTCAATGTTGTACAAACATAAGCTGCACTCTTACGCTTCCAAAGAGGAAGAATTTAAAAAAGAGCTATTAAGCATGTGGATAAGCAGAAGACTTGATATCTTAATGGTCAAAATGTAGCTCTCTGGAGACTGGCATGCTAGGATGAAGGATGGAGATATGCACGAGCCCTTTCTTGCTCTGCCTGAAGCTGCTGAGCTTAAGAAGGGAGTGCTGCCATCAGTACTAAATGCTCCAAGAGGTGCCTCTCTGGCTGTGCTAAGCATCTGGGATGCAGGGAACACACACAAGCACCTGTTGAAACAGGGAAGAAAACATTGCTCTAAGTGCATTCTGCTATCCCAGCCCCCTGTGATGCTCCTGAGGACTTTTACCTGCAGCAGAGAGAATTCTGCTGCCCTGCTTTGTCAGCTGTTTCCTCCTCCCCCACCCCCATCATAGCTCCATCCACTCAAAACCCGAGTTTAACCCTGAAGGACTTACCTAATCTCAAAGCGAGCCAGTGGTTGAGGTGAAAACAAACCCAGTAGACCTGAAGACCTCCAGTTAAATACTTGCTCTTGCTATAAGTATTTGATCACAAGTCCTAACTAGGGCAACATCCTCTCCAGAGCTGCTGATTCAGGGTTGCATAAGTGACAGAAATATAGGAGGTACCAAAAGCATAGTCTATATGTTTTCTGATAAAAATATCAAGAAATTATATTTTACACAGAAAACAACATCACAAGTGCCAGAGAAGCTTTATGATTCATTGCCATCTTCCACCAAATTTAATTCAAGGTATTGATGGCATGGACAATTACTTCAAAGTCAATTCTCTAAACCATTCATCTTTTCCTCCAGTGCACTCACTGCTTGTCATTTTCTTTTGCTGTTCTTATACCTCCAGCTCGCCTGATGGAAGCTGTCTGTGGTTTGTAATGCAAACCAAATGTTCCTTCTCTGTTTCATTTTTTTTCCTCAAGCTTTATTTTTCCAGCTTTAAGTTTAAAAAGCCCGAACTCAGTCTGTCTTCTACAAACAAAATACATGATTTGAGCTGTGCCCATTTGGTTCAAATTTTTGGTTGGATATTAAACCGAGCATTTACAAGATGCAAATAATTTGGTGTAGCTCCCAGATTGAATGTGAATGCCCTGCTGTTAACCAGACAGTAGGAAAGACAGAACCTTTCTTTACTAGCAAGAACAAGATGAGATTTACATTACCAAGTGATAACAGCATCCTCTTTTAATCTAGATCTCGCATTCTATTTTAATCTAGATCTTGTGATCTTTGTCAGATTCACTACTGAGCAGTATTATTAGCACTATTGCAGATGTCTAGGCTTCCAGGCAATAGGAAGAGCTAGAGATTTGGAATTTTTATAATAAAGAGTAAGAAATTACTGTAGAGTTGAATTTACTGTTTAAAAAAAAAATTTAAAAATTAAAAATACCTAATTGTAAAAGAAAAATTCAAAAGGAGGAACTTACAACAGCGAGGCAGACAAACCTGACTCCTGCAGAAGGCTGTTCCTCTTCATAGGCCTGGCAAAAAAAGACAGAGTGAATAATTGAAAACACACTCTCCTGGTGCCACGTGACTCAGTTTCAGTAATTCTGCTCAGTACATTGGAACGGAGCTATTGTTTCCTAATTGAAGAAAATGTCAGCAAGGCTAGATAAACAAAAGCAATGGGATGCAGTATTGGGGAAACTGTTTCCAGCAGGCTCCCAGCTACCCAGAGGTGGCAAGACCATTTAAGGAGTTTGTGTCGTTTGTTTTTACCCATTGCTCCCCTGTCCAAGGATTGATGGGGTTCAGACATGTTAACCCCACCTGAGGGGAGTTAGGGTGACAGCCAGAATCTGTGCTAATCAAGTGCAGGATTTTCTGCTGGAGGCTCAGATGGCAAACAGGTTTCTCATATATTTTAGTAGATATTTTAACGTTAAGCTAGTCACAGTTTCATAGACCACTTCTGCTCCAGGAGCAAAAAGTAATGCCAAACCCTTGTATTGTTCACCACGAAGTGAAACGGTCCCTATAACTTACCAGTTCTTAAATACTTTCCCCTTTATGGGCTAGACTGCAACTTTGTGATCCAAACTGATCAAGAACTCAGAAAATTATTGGGTTTTTTCCACAGAGCATGCAGGAAATGAGAACTATGCCATGGAATCCAAATTGCCTCAGTCACACCTTTCATTTGCTGCAGAGTAAGTGGTTCACAATCTATTCTCCTATTGTGGTGATTCCCTCCACAAAACACTGCTTGAGCTGCATCCACCATCAATTGTGGGAGCAGGCAGCTCACCCTTTCTGCCACGTCCTAGTCATGCTTAGCTGTTTTTTATTGGTCACAGAGATCAGTGTCAGTCCCCAGCTGTCCATCCTCAGTTCTGCTCACTCCGACAAATATCAATCCTGCTGCAGAAAACTACTTTTTGTGATGAGTGCGTGAATTAAAATATTTCATGTTAGTTTATTGAAATTGTGAGGCCTCTTTAGAATGTTCTTACAAACCATAAATCCTATACTTTTCAGGAAAATGTGAACATAAACCTGGCCATGTCTGGTCATGGAAATGCTCAACATGAGAGCACTTAGACACCTGCTACCCTGTGTGTTCTGTGGCTTGAAGGTCCTGGTTTTATTGGTCTGTCACTAAACTTGCAAAAGAGAGAGAGGAATTATAAAATAGGTTTAAAATATTGCACTGATATGGTCTTGTGCTTAGTGGCCCTGTGACTTTTAGATAAAACATGGACTGTGAGGACAAGCATCTGCCCTGTGGGAATGATTTCCCTACTGGGAAAAAAAGGGAAGATGAAATCTCTGCTCTGTACATTGTCTATGGGCACCCTGCAACACTCTGTCCTTGATAATAATATTTTGGGTATTCTGTATTTAAAATTTTTATGAAGAGAATTTGACATTATTTTCCTAACAACTAAGTTTTTAGGATGCTAGTTCTCTAAAGGATATCTTTTCTAAAGGATACAGTTTTAACTATTTTAAGAAATAACATAGAACATTACTGAACTTTTTTACATTCTAATCTTATAAAAGAACCGAGATTTGGCAATAAGTAGTGATCAATAGTTATCAGGTAGCTTTGCTGGAGAGGAGGAGAAATAGGGAGCTAATTTTGTATTTTGGAAAAGAGTTTTTCACTGTATTTGAATAGAAAGGACAGTGGCCTTGTACATTAAATGGGGTTTTGTAGTGCTAGTATTGTAAAAATGAAATATCAACAAGGGAGCAAAGCCACATACTGTTTACCACTTCACTGTCTTTCACTGTAACACACACATGTTTTTGTTTAGCAATAGAGAACTCATTCACACAAAATCTCAACAGCCCCTGAGTTTTGATCCAAACTGATTGAGCTGGAAGCTCAAAAGCATTGGAAAGCTTGCTTTATTTCTTCCCATTGTCACATACTTTTGCATTTCCTGACTATGGGCTGAATAATGTAGTCCCTAAGCCACTGGGAGTTTTGTTCATTCCAAATCTGGACTCCTGCCAGGGCCAGCAGCAGAAACATAAATATCACAAGGAGGGGCTGTTTTTTCATGTTGTTTCACTCTAACCTTTTGCAGTTTTTTCCATCTTCTCTGTACAGTAATTGTTTGGTGCCCAGTGATGAACAGAAAAGCAGGTTTTTAGAAGCCATAAGGAAAAGGAGGGGGAGAGAGAGAGAGAGAGGAAAAACCTCTACTGTGCCTGCCTTGTTGCACAAATGGTATACTTTGATGCTGTGCTGATTGGATACTGTGGTCAATCTTCATTACTTAGCTCAAAGGTATTGTACCAGGAAAAGGGCTATGAAAACTGATCAGAGGCTGGAATTTTGTATTAATTATTTGGACTCTCCTTCGCAGAAAGGAGCTGCATTGATAAAGGTTTATGAGATAATAGGAAGTATAAGGAAAATCAGCTGAGTTTCTTCAGTGCCTTTTCTAGTGAGGAACAGGAGAAGAAGAATGCAGTAAAATAAAGACTGTTCAAACAAATAAGTGGAAATGCTTAAAACCTCAAACATAATTAATGTGTAGAACAAGAAGGTCCCAGAAATCATGAGCACTTTGAAGTTAGCTGTTTTGGCATTGATTTCACTTGGCCAGAGATTTCACCCCAAGAGGTGAGTTGATGAAAATACATATCTGTAGATAAAGGGAATAGCATGCAGAAGGGCCAGCAATTCTTGCTTCAGAATAAAAGCCAAACAATACAAATTCACAGGTAGAGTGATACTGCTGCCGTGGAATAGGGTTCCAGCTACCATAAAATGGAGTAACTTTACTGACATCTTGAGTTAGTGTGTATTGGAGGTGGGTAAAGAAAATAGAGAAACCACTGAACTTAATAGTTATGGCAATTCTTCTCTTTTGTGTGACTAAAATCAGGATGTGTCTGGAACCATAGCAGAAACAGGAGCTGATTCCTCTTTTCTCCAAATTATTTTCCAAATCCAAAGGTTTGGATTCTAGAGGACAAATATGCAGACTATTCAGTACTAAATATTTTACCCGTTGCTACTGGTGATAACCTTTTCCAAAAAGGAGCATATAAATTTAAACAGAACATTAGTACTGGGCAAAGCAGATCTAAGTAATGATGGAACTTAGTCCTGATCTCCACCCAGCTCCAAATACTGCTTGTGTTAATAGGAAAGAAAGCCAATAGTCTGGAGTGTTCTAGTTTTTGTCCTGTCCTTACATTGTTTAGCAAACTGATAAATTACTTTTGCCTTAAACACCATCACAGTTTTCACATTTTACCATATTTCAGACAACAGTTATGTTGCACAGGACAATCCATTCCCTCATTGCTTCTAAGCCAGGACTGGGTTAGTCATCTCTGTCTTGGGTTTCACGCCTTTCACTCTGCCCTTCCATCCATGCAAACATAGCAACATGACATGTTGAGTCACTCCATAAACCCAGTTAAACCAGTATCATTCTCCAGCAATTGCTTCAAAGGGATTACCTTGTAAAAAAAAATAAAATAGGAAGAATCAAGAGAGAATTTGCTTTCAGGTAGAGTTTCTTCTGAGTACCTTATAGGTAAAAGTAGACTGGCACTCTGAGGTTTTGTATGTTATTCCAAAATTATTGGACCTTTTTACGTTATGGTTGCATAGCTTTTTTAGCAGAAGCCACAGCTGCCCTATTGCATTATGTCAAATTAGGTAAAACTCTTTCTAATTTCTTTCATTACTTAGTACCAAGCTTTTGCCAGGAAGCACAAGGATTTTATTTTTTTTATTATTTCTACAGATGAAATGAATCCTGTGTAATGTAACTGTAATTTATCCATTTCTGGCTCCCATTAAACTCTTGATTTCAAGAGTATCTAGAAGCAATGAGTTTCATGTGTTACATATAAATGTACTTGTAACTGTTTTAAATTTGCTTCCTATAAGATTTGTTCAGTTCTTGTACTAGGAAAAATGTCCTGATCTTCACTTCTCTGTAGAATCCTTTTCTCATTGATCTCTGTACTGATGTCATCCTCTATCTTCTACATACTTTTATCTTTCCTTTTTTTTGGCCTTCCTTCCAGCTTCATGCTGCTTTCATATGTTTGGAACTCCTCCTTTTTCTTCAGATCACTTCCTTTTGTGAACTTTATTACCTGACTCTTTCATGGTGGCATCCATGACTGTTTTCCAATGAACTGCCTTCTTGTGAGTTAATAAAAGTTCCTAGACCTCGTCTTGCCAAAAACATTTGTGTTGCAGGATGTGCACTCCCACTCTGCGTGGTTACTAACCTGACTTGTTGCAGTGCCCTAGAGGCAAACTGTAAAATATTGTTTATATAATTCCATGGAAGATGGTCTAATACTAGATGTACACCCATCAGAAAGTATTTTTGCCTCATCTTGAGAACATATCCTGGAACTCCATGAAGAATATGTTGTGTACATGCAATACTTTGTTTACAGAAAAAGTAGCCCAAGTGATTTCCATAAATGATTGTGTTAAGAGTGTGTGATTGAAAAATTACAGCACTATGAGTATAAAGTGTGTTGGCTTAGCCATGGTGTGGTGTATGAGGCAAGGCAAGAATGGTACCCTGTTAACTAAATGTTGTGGGCTGTATTGTTATTTTGATATTTTTGTAGTGGGTATGTAGAGTAAGAGATTATGCTGGGCTTAGAGAGGCACTAGAGATTATTTGTGTTGGCTATGAAGTTTCTAAATAACTGGCACTGAAGGAAAGGTCATTCTTTTCTGCTTTTAAACCGTTGACCAATATACAGTTTATAGCTTACTGCAGCACCAGAGTAGCAAAAACATTATGTGAACTCCCCTGTATGGTGTCATTCTAATTTAAACCAAATATTTTAAAAAGTTATGACTTTGCCTTTTCTTTCCACGCTTTCAGTTACATAATGTTCCTTTTTCATCTGACTTAACATTCCCTTTGATTTATAGTCCCCTAAACTTGAGGCAGACATAAGGGGCCCTTTACATTGAATGAAAGGAGAATTATCAATAGCCAAAAGCTGTGATTTATAAGGAAAGAATGT